TTTTTTTTTTTTTTTTTTGAGTCAGGGACTTAGGCTGGCCTTGAACTCACTATGTAGCGCAGCCTGACTTCAAATTCTCAGTGACCCTCCTGCCTCAGCCTCCCTGCTGAATCTGATGACAGACCTGTGCTACCACACTCGTCTTCAGGTTTTAAACTTTACAAGAGTGATTTAGAATGTAGAAGATTTGGTTTCTCACTTTTCCAGATTCTTAATAGCTGTGTACAGCTGAGTGGTCCTAAATTGTTTCTGGATGCAGAGTTTGTGTGTTTTATGTGTGTTGGGAATATATCAAAGGGGTGACTCATGCATAGCACATGTGTGAGATGTTAAGGAATTTAAGGCTGGCGATTAAGTGGGCAGACATTGCGGGATGGTACCCAGGGCCAGAGGAAAGCGCATCCCAGGGAGTCTGGTGCTTCAGGGGGGCTGTGTGTGCAGGCGTTGCCCTGGCTGCCCACTCCTGGGTGGGCCTGGTGAGTCGTGGCCGTAGGTAGCCAGGCATTTGATGTGAGGGAGCTGCAGACACTCAGCTGTTCCCAGGGGCTGGAGAGAGCTTTGCATGTGCAGATTTGCACATTGAAGATGATGGGCTGCTCTGTTGAAGAGATTCTTCTCAGCTTTTTTTTTTTTTAAATTTCGATTAATGTCAACTTTTTCCTCTTCCTAATGTCCTTTTTCTTTCTGTAAAATAACCACTCCTTTCCTGAGATTGGAGCAGGAAGTCTGTCCTTCAAATGATCTGCAGGTATCTGATAAAACATTCTGACCTTATGGTTTGTTCTCTTTTCTGAAGAGACGGGTGGGGTGGGTGGATGGCTGGACAATGGCAGTTTTTACAAGACGTGTTGTGGCCCCTGTCCAGCTTCCTGGGTACCTGGCCTCTGTCCTCGGGACCCATGTTTCTCTGGTTATTGCCGTGCCCAGTCTGTAAGGAGCCCCTGTCATGGAGAGACCAGCAGCAGCCACCTGTTCCTCCTCAGAGCCTTGCAGCAACAGGTAGAGCTCCGGCAGGGCCTGTAGCCTGTGTGACCCTGGGCCTCAGTTTCCCCATTGACCCAGGTTGGGCTGGGGCTTCTGCCTGCTATGAGTCTTTGCCTCTTATGCCATCTACATAGTCTGTGTGTTTGTGATTTGTGTGTGCATATTGTATGACTGGGTTCCCCTCTGCCATCTCCCCTGAGGGTTGGAGGGCATGGCGTACCCCAGCCATGGAGGCGGACAATGCTCAGAGCATGTTTACTCCGATAGACCTGGAAGGGTTGCCTCTTTCATGAGCTGACTCATTAGTGAGCATCTGGCTTGAAGAACTTTGCTGGGAATGACACTGACCGCAGCCTCCACCAGCCGTCTAGGGCATGCTGGAGGCCGCTAGAACCTGAAGAGCTTGGCTCAGCTACGGCAGGGGGTGAGGTGGAGAGGGCTGTGTGGCCCGACCCCTCCTGGGAGGACGTAGTAGCTGAAGCCAGGTAAGAGATGCCCAGCTCGAGCCCCGTCCTCCTGCAAGGACTGACTGCCAGGGCGTGACGGGTGGAGGCCAGCCATTGAGGGCTGTCAGATCGGCCCATGCATCCTGTCTCTCCTTGTCCTATAGGACCCACCTCAGACACTACGCTCCGCCTCTGCTTCTGTACGGGAAGGAATCTACGTTGTCATAAATGCTGGGTCTCCTTGAGGCCCCCTAGACTGCTGTTCGGTGGAAATCCAGTGCAAGCCCCTTGGTGAAATTTATTGTAATAAAATCTGTCCAATCCAACATATCCAAAGTATGATTCTCCATATCTCATTGAAGCAAGAGGCGTGCACAGGTGAGGTGTGGCCAGTGTTTGGGGACTGTTTGAGGGTGATGTGAAATGCGTGCTCACAGCAACCTGGATTCAAACCAGCCGCATGTCAAGTGCTTGGCGCCACGTGTTGCAGGTGGCTCCTGTGTGGGACGGAAGGGACTCAGTCTTAATATAAACCCAGTTTGCTGGACATCTGACCAGTCTTTGCCAGGTGAGAGTGGGCGCTCTCTCTCCCTCTCTCTCTGTCTCTCTGTCTCTCTGTCTCTCCATCTCTCGGTCTCCCTCTCCCCCTCCCCCTCCCCCTCTCCTCCTCCTCCTCCTCCTCCTCTTCCCCCCACTCTGGGAGCTCTGGTGGGTGGGGCCAGTCTTCCTGCTGGGCAGAGCTTCTTTGCAAGGCTAGGGGAGTAGGCTATTTGTGCCCCTTCCTCCCTGGCTATTTTCCTTTGGCTGGTTAACCCAGCTGAGCATTCCGAAAACAAACCAAGTGGAATGTGTGGGCCTTCGCCCTTCGCCTGTCATTCCCTCCGCTGTGCTGCTAATTGGGCCTGGGAACAAAAAGCGCATTCACCACATCCGGGTGCAGCCTGCTTCCCGGGAGAGAGAGTAGGTTCACTATTTCTGAAATCCAATCCCTCTTTCAGCCCTGGACAAAGCCCCATGTCTTCAGGCTCCTCAGGACCTGATAGATTGCCTTTGTCCTAAGGGAACAAAACAAGAAAGAAGCTGGGCCAGGGCTGCTGGAGGTGTCCTACTGCAGGGAAAGGAGCTGCCCTCGCACAGGCTCCACCTGAGACCCTCCCAGGATGCAGCCTGTGGAGCCTGTGCAGTGACTCAGGGGCTGGCTTGA